TTGGTTAAGGCGTGGCATTGCTTTTAAAAGATTACTTCCATATTTGACAACAATTCTAACTGGAGTTTATAAACCATATAGTCAATTTAAAGGCACTATAGAAAACATGAGGGTTTCTTTTTTGTTGTTTGTTTGTTTGTACAAAGTGATTGCCTAGAGTTAATAGGCTGAATCCTGAAGCCCTTGTTTCATAATAGTGCTGAGGGTCTGTAACCAACAGAAGTTGTTTAATGCACTTAATTAAGATTATCTGAGCTTTTGATTTAAATGACTTTAGAAAAGTCTAGGTGCAAACAGCTTCTTTGAAAGATAAACATAGCTCTAAAAAGGTCCTTTAAATAGCACCAATTCTTATTAGAGTACTGACTGGTGTAAAAAGATATCTCCAAACATCAGTAGAACAGTTATATAATTAATATAATGGAATGTTTTCAGTACTTACATTTATTTGAAATGCCAAAAAGTATTTTAATGAAAAGTAGCTGTTGACACTTTTAGTAATTTTAAAGTAAAATGATACTGTACACTATTTTGAACAAAATATACACTTAATAGAATTCTTAAATTTTCCTTATTCCGTTTAAGAAGCAAGTTATATTAAAATGCACCAAGAATAACATGTTTGATTTATGTATAAATTGTCAAAAGTTGATGTGTCATTTTCCTCCATCTTCCTCAGCTCCTTGATCTGTTTATGGTTTGGGATTGGTCTACTTACCTAGCTGATTATGGACAGCCAGCTTCTAAGTACCTTCGAGTGAATCCAAACACAGCCCTTACTCTTTTGGAGAAGTAAGTATATTTTGAAAACATTTTTGTACAGCAGTTTAACAGGCTTTGATTCCATAACAAATGAAGAACCGAAAGTTTCCATGAAAAGAAATGTATAGATGAAGCTTAAAAGCTCAGTTCATCTTAAAGACTTAAAACTCAGCTTTTCTTTCTTGCCCTCTGTAATTGGTACCATTACATATGCCATTGCTGTTTATATTGATGTGAACAAAACATTTTTCCTGTTGTATCCTGAGTTGCAGGCTTAGTTGGCCTTAGAAATATCTTTACCTGGAGTGCTGTGGATGAAGCTCCTCACTGGTAGAGCTTGATTGGCATGTACCAGAAAAGGAAAAGAGAAGTATGTTTGCTGAAGTTGTGAGTGAGAATGGGAAATTGGAGCTATTTAAAACAAAACAAAACAACAAAACAAAACAAAACAAAATATCCCTGTATTACAGGAAAGAAGATATTTAGTAAAATATGGCTAGGAACTCGGGTATTTGTCACCAGTACTATTTAAATCATGGATTCTTGACAGGTAGAGAAATATGTGTTTTGAAAAAATACAATATTTTGAAACCTGAGGTGATAGATTTACTGTGCATTTTTATCCAGCTAAACACAGATTGAGATGCCCCCTCTTGTGTGGGAGATTGTCTCCTCACTCGATCAATCATATTGCAAGCATCAGTGTAAAATTTTTTAATTTTTAAATTAAAAGTATATATTTTCCACATTTCAAAATATCTGTGGTGTATTTGATTTGAAAGAACATAAGGAACTGTTTAAAATAAATTTTAGTTTACAATATCATTGAACATTACTGAGGCAAAAACATTGCTGTTTTAAATTTCTAATGCTACATTTTTTCTTTCACTTTTTCTTTCTATGAATGTGATTTACAGAGTCCATAAAGGATATTTTAACACATTTTATGGATTGATATTAGAAAACAGTATATTTGAAAAGTTAGCATATTTTAGATTTACATGCTAATGCAAAATCACTACTTTGTATAAAATGCAAAATGAAGCTGCTAATTTTTGTGTGGTGTCTGTATCTATAAGTTTATTAGTACCTATTTGCTTTAAAGTGTATTTTTCAAGCATGGCACTGGTGTGAGAACGTGCCAGATTATTTTCAGAGCGTGCCAGGATATTTTACTGTGACAGCCATAGCTTTTAATTTCCTTCTGCTAAGCTTCATTTACATGTTTGTAGGATGAAGGATACTAGCAAAAAGAACAATATATTTGCTCAGTTCAGGAAGAATGATCGAGACAAGCAGAAGTTGATAGAGACAGTCGTGAAACAGCTGAGAAGTCTGGTGAATGGTATGTCTCAGCACGTGTAGACTTCACATCACTTGCACTCAGTGACACCAGCTCCCTGTGACTGAGCACTATTTCTAACAAGCATGGGTCATGATACAGTTAATTTGTTTACAGAATTTTAAAATGCAGCACTGAAAATACACTGAAGGCTTAAACAAGAAATCATAATAAATATCATTTGTATGAATTTTTAAATAATTGGATACTTTTTATATATGGAAAAATGTGACTTTTTTTCAACTTTAGGGGGAAAGGGCAAAACTGTAATACATAAATGAAGTCAAAAATTATATATGAAACATTGCAAATACATTAGAAAAACTTAAGCTTCTCATTATAAGTATTTTTTTCTACTTTAAAGTTGAATGATATGTGATTTCTTAAGTATATAGTTTTAAAATGCAGTCATGTCTGATATGGGAGTATTTTACTATCATTTTGATTACGCTGTTATTTTCACCTCAATGTAACTTGAATAAAAAAATTTAATTCTGCTCATTCTGAGGGGGAAATATACAAGTCTTTAAAGCTCCTTGAAATCAAACCTAACTCAGTAAGAATGTAAATTATTTGTTCTACTTGGTGGTTTAATTTAAACATTCTAAATATGAAGGAAATGTTTTGGATTTTCTAAGGATGCAGTGTTGTTTCTGCTCATCAAAGTTGATGTGTCTATCTGTATTGCTTGTAGCTAACCTCAGTCTGGATTGGTTTGGTTTGGTTCAAGTTAGGAAAGGACAAATTAATGGGAGAAAACCAGTTCAGGTGCAGCTTATACTGGAGTAGATATGTTCTTCCTACACACAGAAATTACTACAGGACTCAGGTAATTTTCTTCAAACAGCAGATCTCACTACTATATCCTTACTGTGGAAACTGGCCAAATCAACTGAAGTCTGGAAAACCTAAAACAAATGTATATTTTTCTTTGTGTAAGTAGAGGTAAATGGCAGTGTAACTCTGATCTTTATTTTCTCCGTGTTGTATTTATGCTGAATACTCCTTTTGTATTGTCAGGATTTATAGCTGTAAGAAAACTATACTTTACATCTCTTGATTTTGTGATGAAATATTAAAGGTTGAGCAAGTTGTTGAAAATGCACTATTTTGTCTATTCAGAGCTTCCTGATTTAAAACTGTTCCCTTCAAAAAAGGCGTATTATTTCCTAATTATTGGAATGGGAGTGGCACCAAAACAGAACAAAAGGTGTTTGTTTCTCATACTGAAGTATTTCACATTTTAAAAATATTACACTGAAAAAAATGGTAATTTTTCAGACACAATAAAATCTGGACTTTGGGAGATAAGCAACTCTCTCTCTCTGAATTCTTGGAATGTGGCTGTTCCTTACCTCTAGGGTACCTGGGAGGCCTCCCACCCCACCCCGTGCTGTGGCCTCTAGTATTGAAAGGTGCAGTCTTCACAACACGTGGACCTGGCTGGTCCCTGTGGCTCTTCTTTGCTTATTCCAATAAATAAGCGAAAGCCCCCCCATACTCCCCCCCCTTACTCAGTTGCACTGTAGTGACAAGAACGCGAGAGACCTGAGGGAGACCTGAGGCACTTTGAGCTCTAAGGTAGGACACAAGGCCCTAGACACAATCACAGACACTGATGAGGTATCCTAGGATGGATTCGGGAGGAGGAGTATTCAAATAAATAAGCGAAAGCCCCCCCATACTCCCCCCCCTTACTCAGTTGCACTGTAGTGACAAGAACGCGAGAGACCTGAGGGAGACCTGAGGCACTTTGAGCTCTAAGGTAGGACACAAGGCCCTAGACACAATCACAGACACTGATGAGGTATCCTAGGATGGATTCGGGAGGAGGAGGGAAAAGAACAGAATTAAGTCCTTGAGACTTGAAAGGCTCCCAGGCGTACATGCTTCACAGAGGCTTTGGGCTTCTCTGTGAAGCTTTGGCAGCAATGAAAGTACCACCTCTCAAAGGATTCCTGAAGTGGCAGGTCAGAGAACCAAGGGCCCCAGCTATCGCTTGTGAGCTTTGGACGCGCCGAGGGAGTGGGTGATCGCTTCCATCCCGTTTCTCTGAAAGAGATGGAGCGAAGTGGAGAGGCTCCAGCCCTTTAACCTTGGAGTGGCCAGGGGAAGGGCGGGTGGAGATCCCAGAAGAGCCTGAGGCTAAGGATAGGCCCCGGAGTGCTGCGGGGAGGAGGAGGGTTTAAGCGCTGGGACGCTCGGACCTCGCTGGCTCCGGGAGATCAGGCGCAGTCGGGAAGTTCTGGCGCGAAATCACAGGCTCCGCCCTAGTATGCCCGCCTGCTTCGCCCCGCTGCCCAGGGGCCACTCCCTGTTCACAGTCCCTCGGGGAGTGCCACGCTACCCACCACCTCCAATCCTTGCCCTTCGTGGAGCGCTTTATGCGTAGGTACGTGATGATGTGTGAACTGGGATGGGTCCATAAAGAGGGAGCCAAAACCTATATAAGTGTGTCCAGGGTAGGCCGAGAAGGGTTAAAAAAGAGAGGAGAAAGAGGTGGGGCCGGGGTCTTCTGCGGGGTGATCTCAGCCCGGGTCTGGGTCCGCAACACCGGTGAGTTGCTCCTGGCTTTGCCTTTCCTCCTCGTTTCTAGCCTTGGATCACTGATCTAGGGAGGAGTGGGAGTGCCCTTCGGGTGCTGGGTGTGAAAGGGACTAGGAACCGGGAAATTCAGTGCGCCCTCCTTGTGGAAAGAAGTTCCCAAGGGCGCATCATGACTGCCACCTTCCATTGCGACTGTTTTTAGAACGGAGTTTTTCTCTAAACCTGTTAATCTCAGACTTGGGCCCCAAGCCTCCTCGGGGGCCTTTCCGACGGAACAGGTGAGATCTATACATTGCTCAAGGTCCAGTACTTCGCTCCCAGCGGCTTAGCCCCCCCCCCAAGATTCATCATGTTTGTTTGGGGGCTGAGCTGCCTGTCGCTGCTGGGAGTGGCGGGCACCGCTCTCCTGTGCACTGGCCTGCTGCTCAGCCTGGCCCAGCACCTCTGGACCCTCCGCTGGACACTGAGTCGGGACTCTGCCTCTGCTCTGCCCCTACCCAAGGGCTCCATGGGCTGGCCCTTCTTCGGCGAAACGCTGCATTGGTTGGTTCAGGTGAGCAGCTCATCGCTTCCTGTAATATCACACAGCCCTTTCTTGCGAGGCTCCCACTGGACCCGTTTAATTTGAAATGCTCCCAGGGGTCTATCTAACCAGTTCTGTCCCAACTGCCCAGGACCCCGGGGAGCATTCACAATCCTCGCCTTTGCCTAGCTATTCTGACCCCTCTAAAGGACTTCAGGTCACCTCAGTTCTCCCCAAAGCAGTTTAAACCTAGGGGTAAAATGAAATTTGGCTCTGGAAGGGGTTTCAGGAGCATGTCTTGCAAGCCTACAATGAGCCTTGAGTCTTTGCTTCCCCTGTTCTGAACCTGTTTCCTCATTTTACCAATGGGAACGAGAGCATCTGCATTCCTGTAGGCTACTGGCAAGGTCTATTTGAGTCCCTGCTTTGTAAAAGCTAATGCGCCAGCCAGAAGCGGGGAATTGTGATTCCCCGTTAATTGGGAGGCCTGAGCCGCATCTCTAGCATCTCTAGCGAGGGTGAGATTTTAAGCGCTCCAAGCTCCGCCTCGCCCACAGGGCTCGAGCTTCCACAGTTCCCGCCGGGAGCGCTATGGCACAGTGTTCAAGACTCACCTGCTGGGCAGGCCAGTGATTCGAGTGAGCGGCGCGGAGAACGTGCGCATCATCCTGCTGGGCGAGCACCGCTTGGTGCGCAGTCAGTGGCCTCAGAGTGCACACATCCTGCTAGGCTCGCACACCCTGCTGGGGGCGGTTGGTGAGCCACACCGCCAGCGGCGCAAGGTGAGAGGGGGAGGATGTAAGACCGGAGGTCTTGGGGCATCTGCTGCGCGCCAGGCCTGAGCCAGGTGTGGAAATATATTGAAAACTCCAACCGAATTCCCTGGTTAAGAGTAGCCATGCACTGGGTCCCTTACATTCTCCGGGTTTGTATTACAAAACCAGAAAGGCCTATACGTTCCTTTTATTTCTGATCTTATGTGGATACCAGAGGCACTGGAGGTGCAGATCTAGACATGTCAGGGAAGACTTAGTCGGGGAGGAAGCAGCTGGAGCCTGGGTGGTTTGGGAGGGACTAGAGAGAGGGATGGAGAGGGGAAGAGACCGGAATTGGCCTTCTGGTTTCTCTGGAGTTGCGAAGCAGGGAAGGCCTACCTGCCGTCAGGGCTGATCCCACAAGCTTCCCACAGGTTCTCGCGCGTGTATTCAGCCGCTCAGCGCTGGAGCGCTACGTACCACAACTGCAGGGGGCGCTGCGGAGTGAGGTACGCTCCTGGTGCGCTGCTAGAGGACCGGTAGCTGTATACCAGGCTACCAAGGCGCTCACCTTCCGCATGGCCGCTCGCATCCTACTGGGTCTGCGGCTGGATGAGGCACGTTGTACTGAACTGGCCCGGACCTTCGAGCAGCTGGTGGAGAATCTCTTCTCACTGCCCTTGGACGTACCCTTCAGTGGCTTGCGCAAGGTACTACCGCCCGGGCCCCAGAACTTCCCCTTGGGGGCTTCGCCTCATACGCTGGTCTCCAGGTGAGGTGGGGGTGCTCTCCAAAGCAATCTCCCCATCGCTTCCTGCCAGAAGATGGAGGTGTCACCCAACGCGGAGAGGCAAAGTGGTGTGGTAATAAGCACCAACGCCGCTTCTGTTCTGACACTGACACGCTGTGTGAGTTGGGGTCCCAAGTGGTGGACAGCCCACCGGTGGGTCGGTCAGTGCTTTTCCTCAGAGCAATACTTTTTGGAAGTGTGGATGGATTAGGAACAGCCAGGGCCTCAGATACACCTCCAACCCAATTCAACACCATCCTTGGTGGGGGTGGGCGTTTGCGGGGGTGGTGTCGGATGGTGGTGGTGCTTGCTCCCAGCTCAGGGCACTGGGTCTGCCAGCTTCCGGATCTGTCTTCTGATTTCAGATTTCAGAGGCAGAGAGCAGCAAGAAGGCCCCACCCAACCTTCCCTCTCCCTGAACCCTGAGAGGAGAGCTTTTCCAGTCCTGCAGTGGGGATTGAACCCAAAGTCTTGGCCGGAGCCACATTCCATTCCGACTCTTTTCTCGTTTTTCTTTCTCCTCTTTCTCTTTCTCTTTTCTTTTCTTTTCTTTTCTTTTCTTTTCTTTTCTTTTCTTTTCTCTCTCTCTCTCTCTCTCTCTCTTTCTTTCTTTCTTTCTTTCTTTCTTTTTTCTGTCAAGACAGAGTCTTTATACATAATTGCCTACACTGGGCTCACAATTGTAGGCCTCCCACTTCAGCCTCCAGTGCTGGTACTTCTCCTTGTGTAGATTCCCCGGATTTCAATCACCTGAATAAAAATAATAGATATGTATTGAGGGTCATGTAGTGCATTGATTGCCTTGGATACATTTTTAAATTTGATCCTTGCTGCCTACAAAATGTCATTACTCTCATTTTATTGACCAAAAAAAGCTCAGTTGAGGTTATGTGATTTAAGATTACACAGCCAGCTGGAGGCAAATACAGTATCTGAAAGTGATATTTCTGGCTACAAAACTCACATGCTCAATTTCAGTGTTTTCCCAAGGGAATGTTTTTAATGTGCTTGTTCCTAGAACCCTGAAAGGGTATCCCAGCCCTCTTGTCCACCCTGATACAGACGCTGATACTTAGAGCATCCAATTATGTCCTCTACGTCAGAGCTTTCCTGGTGCCCTTCTCTGCACTGGTGCACAGTGCCCCAGCCTAAGTCTTGTGTAAGGAAAAAGCAGTGGGTTGACTCCATAGCTGGGCACTCACAGCTATGTGGCTTGAACAGTCTCTGGGCCCCTCTGAGCCTCAGTGTCCTCCCCGCAAGATGACAGTGCCTCTCCACTGTGTTCAGAGGGGGCTTATGATCTAGATAGAATATTTTTGGGCAGTGAACAAATTCCTGACCATTGATCCTTACTACGTGCCAGGCAAGCTAAGCTGAGAGATAAACAACAGGTGTCAGGCAGAGCCAGCGTGGTTCTGAGATTACAGTGTAGGTGACCAAGCCTGGCCCCTGAGCCTACCTGCCCCACTTGCCTTCTCTTCTTGTACATCAGGGCATCCGGGCCAGGGACCAGTTGCACCAGCACCTGGAGGAGGCCATTGCTGAGAAGCTTCATGAGGACGAGGCAGCAGAGCCAGGTGACCCCCTCCACCTGATCATTCACAGCGCTAGGGAGCTGGGCCAGGAACTCTCAGTGCAGGAGCTGAAGGTAGGCAGAAGGAGGCCACTCCTCCCTCTTTGTTTCCAGCAGGTCTCCACACACAAGCTGTATCCTCAGCCACTTATCCTTTGGCACTGTTTTATGGCATAGATACACCTCCAGGTGAGGAAAGAGGGGTCCTGGGTTCCAATTATAACTCAGCCACACCCACTAGCTGTGTAGCCTTGGGATACTAGCCACTCTTCCAAGAGGATTGAAGGCATGAATTCTAAGCCTATCCTTACCAAGGTCTGGCCTGCTCACCCATCCCTCCAAACTCCTAGTCTTTCACCTCATGTCTTTTCCTCTGCGGTCCTCCTGCCTTATGAAATCCTCTTGTTTTTTCCTACAAAATCCAAGAGGCTCAGGATCAAATTCCACACCTTCAAAACTCCGTCTTCCTCCCTAAAATCAACCTTTCATGAGGCACCTTGGCACGTGGCACCACTACCTGGCCATTTTGCCACTGCAGTGTCTCTTGTAAAATTAGGACCCAGAACCCTTCCCTATTTACAGGTAGAGTGCTTGCAGTAGAGAGGATGGAGCTCTAGAAGGGCTTAGTACCTCTTGAGAAACCAAAAAGAAGTGAAATGCAGAAGTCAGGGGAAAGTTAGAAATAGGAAAACCTCAATCTTCCACATATAACTCCATCCTTTCTCTGGGCTTCAATTTCCCACTTTCCACCAGCCAGTGATTGAACGTTAGTTTCTTCTCTGCGAATAAGATGAATAATCTCCATCCAGATTCTTGGCTGGTTGTGAAGTCCAGATGCATCAAACAGGTTGGAGAGAATAAGCAATAGGCTTATGAGTCCTGGAGGAGGGATGACATGTTTGAGCCCAGCCTGGGCAATTATCAAGACCCTGTCTCAAAATGACAGAAAGGCAGATGATGATGATGATGATGAAGAAGATAGATAGATGATAGATAGATAGATAGATAGATAGATAGATAGATAGATAGATAGATAGTGTGAAGGCCCTGAGTTCAGTCTCCATTAGAGTCAGTTGTGGGAGGTGGTATGGAAAGAAGTGGGTGGTTCCTCTGCCTTGACGGGACAGAGTAGGCAGAAACAACATTCTTAGAGAAGGAACTCACTGGTTAGAGATCTTCCATAATGGCCTGAGTATCCCAGGAGGCCAGGCTGGGAATATTGGGCTCTGAGTTCTCCATCCCAGCTTCCCTCCTTGTCCAAGTCAGGGCTGGCAATTAGCTTCTGATGAGGATTTAGCATTCCTTCCACAAATATCATTAGGTTTCAGATGCTGCGCTGGGATGGCAGATGCGATGAGCAAATGACCCTGCCACCCAGGTGCAGGAGGGGAAGATGCACATTCACCCCCAAATCCTAGGAATTAGTGAATAAAACAAACACCAGTACCAGGAGGAAGATGCTGGACCAGAGGCAGGCAGTGAGGGTGCTCTTCTCCGAGGAAGGGTGGACTGTTTCCCTTCTTGGACACAGCAGACCAGGAGAAGCTTTACTGACACACTGAGCCCAGTACAGTAAACAAGATGATAAAGGTGCGAGGCAGGCAGTGGTGTGGGGCTGGCCCTGTGGCTGCAAGTGCTTCGGTCTGTTCACTTCGGTCACTATCATGATACCCAGAAAGGGCTGGCGGCAACAACACCGGGGGAGCAAGAACCCCAAACAATCCGGGTGGCTGGGACTGCTAGCTGTCCATGCCTAGGTTTCTAATCCTGTTTTAAAAAAGAAAAGAAAAAAACAAGAGTAATTGTGCCTCACAGGGTTATGCTGAAGACCCAATAAGAAAATATACTTAAAGCATTACAGATAACGTACAGAGTTAAGTTTCCAGCATAATCTCTGGAAATTCTCTCAAGGCAGATAACTCCTGGTACTGCCTGTTGCTCTATGTGATTTTTCCCAAGTGACAGACTTGGAATTTAATCCCAGGACTCCGGGAGCCACACACAATTTCCACGGTAGCCTATCTCGCTCGCCTGTCTTAGGGTAACAGTAACTTTGCGCCCTTTGTGTCTCCACGGTGGGGCAGTGACTGAGACTCAGCGCTGCTTGGGCTGTCTTGTAGGAGTCAGCTGTGGAGCTCCTCTTCGCCTCCTTCTTCACTACGGCCAGTGCCAGCACGTCCCTAGTGCTGCTGCTACTACAGCACCCGGCAGCCATTGCCAAGATCCAGCAGGAGCTGGCGACACAGGGGCTGGGGAGCGCTTGCCGTTGCGCGCCGGGGACCGCAAGGCCCCTGCCGGAATGCGGCTGCGAGCCTGACCTTACGCTGGCGGTGCTGGGCCGTCTGCGCTACGTGGAATGCGTAGTGAAGGAGGTGCTGCGCCTCCTGCCGCCGGTGTCTGGGGGCTACCGCACAGCGCTGCGAACTTTCGAACTTGACGTAAGTGCGCCGCGCCCTCCCCATCCGCATCTCCTGCTGCCGGCGGCGATGCTGGGGCGGCTCCGGGATTAGCGCGAGGTCTCTTTTCCACTCCCAGGACCTCAGCCTTTCCTCAGTACAGTGGCTGGGTCCTACCATTCTCCGGGATCCCGGGTAGAGGGGCCACAAAGCCTGGCGCCCGATGAATCGGCACGGTTAGGAATTTCCTATAACTTAAGCATTTGTCAGCAGACTTTGGAGAGTCAGCTCAATTAGAGATGAATTTTAGAGTACAAACATACTTTTCTATGACCTCCCCCAGCCCACCCCTGCCAATAAGTGTGGATGGGGTGTAAAAACTGTACTTCACTCCTCGGGCTTCCTCCTATGGTTAAGACCAGTTTCCAGAAAAGCGCAGCATTTAAAATACAGGTAAAATTTGAGTATCTCATCAGGCTGCTCTTGGCTGGTCAAAGTAAGGGTCCAGGTCTGACTGCATCTCTGAATGACATGGGGCATTTCTATCTTCACTCTGAGCCTGGGTTTACTCTTTGGAAAAGGCTGTCTTGGTCGTTTCTGGCTGTGGAAATCCACATGGGGCCAGGGCCGCAGAGAAGGGGCAGCACTGGGATTTGGCCCTTTTGCGTTGCCAAATTGAGGGCACTGCCTGAAAGGATGTTGCTGCAGTCCTCTGAGTACCGAGCTTTGTGGCTGGGTGGCTCCAGGGAGAGTGGGCATCTCCTTTCACAGTGAACATCCACTGTGCATTGCAGGGGTGGATGGGGGACCACCAGGAGGACGAGGGGACCAGGAGCGACAGCTTCATCAAAAAGATGGAGTAATAGCGTGATTTCTAGAGCTAGTTGACACCAAAACATTTTTGGAGCTGGCGTTTGAACTGGAGCGGTGAAGGATTAGGACGAGGACAGTACACTACAGAGAGGAAACAGACCAGACAAAGGTGGATGTTTAGAAATGTCTTGGATGCCGTATCTTAGAAATGATATTTCATTCTGCATGTGTGGGCGTGCCCTACTGAGACAAAAGGGGAGGAAAGAGGACCAGGGAGGGTCACTAGAGAGAGTAGACACAGGACAGGAAAAGGTCTTTGCTGTCCTCCAGTGTATAGATGGGGAAACTGAGGACTAGAGAAGAGAGAAATCTCCTCAGGCAGTTCCGGGATATTGTACTCTGTCCCCTTGGGGAACATTTCTGAGTAATAATCACCACCCACCAAGGAGTCATCAGAAAGCTTCGGAATCTGAAAGTTTTTGAGGCGAAGGCAGCAGGATAGTCAAAGGGTTGGAACACACAGTCACAACAGAGCTGAGTGGGCTTGGGATACAGCTCAGTGGTAGAGCTCTTTCCTAGCATGCATGAGGCCTTAGCACCAGAGGGGGAAAATAAAAGCAGCAGAATGATTGGAAAAGCTGAGGGTGAGCAAAAGGAACCTGGAAGCTGCCTTACAACATTTTACAAACTTTCTGGTTTCTCATGATCTTCTTAAAGTGTAGCTACCAGGTTTGGGCATTATTGTTCAGATGATAAGTGGAAGGACAAAGAAATTTATAGTGGAGTTGACCTACAGGACTGGGGTTCTGGTCAGCTGGACCATCTCAGGCAGCTGATAGTTGTAGGACTAGAATATAGGTTTCTTGACCTCATCTCAGAAGAAAAGAGAAAGATAAAAAAGCAAACATTAAAAAAGTCCCATGTACTGAATTCTGGTAAGTTCCTGACCCTTTTTTTCCGAATCCTCACAACAAAGTGGGGTTTCCCCTCTTTTGGTATTAGAGCCAGGGTCTTGTTAAATTGACCAGGCTGGCCTCGAATGTGGGACCCTCCGTGTCTGCCCCCCAAGTAGCTGAAACTATAGGTGTCTGCCACCAAGGCTGGCTCAAAATGGGAATTATTGTTCTCATTTTATCAATTAAGGACTGAGTCTCAGAAAGATTATCAAACCCAAGGTCTTACAGCTCACCAGTGAAGAGGCTGGCGTTAGAATGCTGCCTTCTGAGTTGATCGTGTATTCCTGCTGGCTTTCACATGCCCGTTTGGTGATTCCCGGTAATGGGTCGATTCAGGATCTGTCTCCAGGTGTCTCGTAGTCAGGCCGATCCCCTTGCTTCCTCGCAGGGCTACCAGATCCCCAAAGGCTGGAGCGTGATGTATAGCATCCGGGACACGCACGAGACGGCCACGGTATACAGTAGCCCTCCTGAAGGCTTTGACCCGGAGCGCTTTGGCTCGGCGCGGGAAGATGAGCCGGGCACCTCCGCGCGCTTCCATTACATCCCGTTCGGCGGCGGTGCGCGCCGCTGCCTCGGCCAGGAACTGGCGCAGGCGGTACTGCAGTTGCTAGCTGTGGAGCTGGTGCGCACCGCGCGCTGGGAGCTGGCCACGCCCGCCTTCCCCGCCATGCAAACGGTGCCCATCGTCCACCCAGTGGACGGCTTGCAGCTCTTTTTTCACCCACTTGCACCTTCAGTTACGGGTAATGGGGTACACCTCTGACCAGCGGCGCTTCAAGACTTGCCCAGTGCCTCAGTGCCGTCGTGCGCACATTCACCGGGTCACTTTTTCAATAAACGTTAATCGAATGCTGCTCGCTTCGGTACTGGAGGAGGAGCGAGCTACAGTCACAACACAAAACAAGCGCTCTGGCCAGCCGGAAGGAGCTGCCTGCACTCCAAGTCAGGGGGAAGGAAAGATGTGGGTTAAGTCTCTTAAGCCTATCCCAAGATCTCGAAGTGGGGATGGAGGGAACTGATTGCACCCTAGGTGCTGCCCCCGTCCACTTTTCTGCTGTAGTCCGGGAAGTTCGGGCATCTGGGACCCCCGGGTTGGGGGAGGGGTGGAGGGTGAGACCTTCAACTCTTTGGAGGAAATCCGGAGGCTGGGGGCTGACCCTGGCCTGATAATGGGTCTTAAGAAGACACGCCCCAGAGGGTGACCGATGGAAGTCCCCCGGGCGTCTGGCCTCTGGCTTCCTGCGCTTTGGCCGCTCTCCCAACTTGGCGGAAATTTAGCACTGTGTGCGCCGCCAGGGCTCTAAATGGCTCAACATCACCGGATCTGCTGGAGATTTCTTAAAAGAAAAATTCCTTCTTCAAGAACACATTTAATCTCCCCATTTATACAGGAAAGAATAAGTACACAGCAGTGTCTGTAAGGCTGGTTCATGGGACATTGTCACATAATCCCTTCATGAGAGGTTGAGATATAATCAGAAAGGTTTGGGATATTTGTACCAAAAACAGGAAGACCAAGAAATAAAGTTTCTTGCCAGCGATTGAGCAAGAAGGCTAGGGCTTAGCTGGGCAGCTGCTACCTGGTGGGAAGACACTGGTGGTGGGCAAGGGAGCCTGGGAAAGACCTACCTGATGGACCCACCCCAGTGCATATCCAGAGAGAGGTCTGAAGCTGGACATCCCCTGGTCCCAAAGGGACCAGAAAGTCAGGGGTGACTTCCCTTCTGAACATAATCCTAGAAACTCAGCTTTCAGTTATCCACTGCAAGCTTGCTTCGGAAACTTTCCAGTCTACTGTTTCAGTATCCTATTGCAGAAAAACTGAGGAGTAGACTATTGCCTGAGGAGGCAGCACTGGATTTGCTGACCAGCACTCTCCTGCACTCTATCTTTTATCCTGCCGGCTCTACCCTTTAGACCTGTGCCCATGTAGGATTCAGCCCTTTGGCCTTTTCATTGGTATCCCAGCCTGACCTAATTACTATCTGTTCCTTTTTTACCCAGGGGTTCCCACCAATTTAAATCAAAGTCAAGGGCTTCTGTACCATCAAACTGCCACCCATCTTTGTAGAGGCCCAGGCAGCTGGATGTAACTGTTAAGCCAAGAAAGTTGCCGCCCATGCCTTAGCTGACCCCTTAGTGAACCAGAAGGAAACCACTGCCCTCCTGACCTTATGTTTAAAGTGAATCTGGGGGCCTGAAGGAAAAGGGGATGCACCAGGCATGAGGTTGGGAGCTCTAGAGCACAGGGGGCCCTTCTGAGCCAGGTCAACACCGCCACAACCCTCATGCAGGGCAGTTCATTATGCATGGTACATCACAGGTCTGGGCCCTAAACCCAGAAGGCACAAGAGGCAGCAAAGGTGGCCTGAGGCAGGCCTGCTCCCCGGGGTGCTTTTGAAAACACTGAGGACATCCTGGTCTGAAAAGCCTGGGTCTGGAGAGGGGCTGGCTGAAGGTCCCTGCTTGGAAATCAATTCTGACTTGGGGAGAGAAGAGAAATATGAAGAGGGGCTTGTCAGAAACCAGGATAGCCAAACTGGTTTCCAGGGACTTGGTTTTCTTGTTCTGGGGTCTGACCTAACTCTAAGCCTGTAGTTGCAGCTCCAGTTCTACTCTAATTACCCATTGCTACATCTGATTTCAGTAGCTCCATGTTGTCAGGGGTAGGAGCAGGTATGGTCCCTTGGCCTTCTAGACTTGATTTACCCTCATGGATTTGATATGCTCATGGAATCAGACAGTAAATAGAAAACACAAATGAGCAAGAATCTGTCCAGAGGTGATAAATGCTGTAAAGAAAATAAAAGGGCCTATAATACAGGGCTAAATTCTGCAGTGTGTGTGTGTGGAGAGTTTCTCTGAGGAGGTGACATTTGATTTTGGAAGGAAACAGCCCTCCAGGAGCAGAAGAAACAACAGGTTTGAAACCCTCAGACCCAATAAATGTTCAGGAAGAAGAGGAAGGGGCCGAAGGAAGAGAAGTGGCATACCTCCGGATTCTCATTGCTCCCCAGGAGGCATAGGGGAGGTGGGGAGAACCCCTCGAAACAGGAAGGCTGTTTTCTAAATATTTTGGAAACATTTTGTTTTTCAGCAACCACCCCACTGCTACAGCCCAAGAAAATTTGATGAGATCTCTAGATTGAAGTTCTTGGGTTGGTAATTTATGGGTTCTCCCTCCCCATCTATCTTCAAAATGTTCTTTAATGAGCTTTCACTCTCACATCTAATCTTTTCTTGCCAGATGCCCCCGTGGGTCTCGATGGGCAGGTAGATTATATATATATTTTAAAAATTTCCCCCTGTGGCAATTTCCAGTGCCCTCATCTGTGGTTCCGCGCTGAACTTGGCTAGGTGGCGCGGCAGAGTTCACTCGGATGTCAGAGTCCGGCCTGCAGGGGTCACAGGCGGGTCAGGCCGGAGCTTGGAAGTGGGCCTCAGGTCACGCCCTGCGCTCGCCAGCTTTGCACACCGGCAGAGGAGCCCTGGAAAGGGGCGGGCCCGAGATTTCTGAGAATAACCTCTAACGCGCTTTGCCAGGGTTCCAGCTATCCCTCAGAAGTTGGCTCCCTGTTTACAGCCCCCGGAGGGTTAGGAGAAATGGCAGTGGGAGATAGCTCCTCCTGAGAAAAGAAGCGCTAGATCGGGAAACACGCCCAGGAGCGACCTGGGTTTGGAGGTTGCTGGAACTGTGCGGGTCCTTAGGACTCCGTAGATATTTCTTGACTCTCCAGGTTTTGGGGTCACGCAGGAGGGCCACGTATTTAACAGCTCTCAGGATCAAAGAGTTTTCCATTTCCAAGGAACGCTTTCCAAGGTTCACAGACTTGCTTCTCCGAGAGCCAGTGTGCAGTTCTAAACAGACGTCAGTCGTTCTGTTTCGTTGTCTGTCTCCCTGCTGGGATTAGTGCACAAACCAAAGCAGCCGGAGTCCCTGACTGGTCCTACGCAGTGTGGCCCGGCCAGATGGAAAGTCCAGAGCGCACGTGCGCATCCTGCAGTGTTCAAGCCCATATTTGCCACAGGAGCTGCTGCTCGAAGTTGGGCAGAGTCGTCTGGAGGACCCACTCCCCAGTACGAATTCCCTCAACCCTCCCACTACCAGCCAGCAGAGGCCTGCGTTTAGGGCCAAGCAGCTCTCACCAGGGTGAGGGTGGTGGCTTTACACTGGATGAGAGCTTGGGAGAGCAAGGAAGGTTCCAGAGCCTCCCATTCAGGCCACCTTGATAACACAGCCTGGTGTTCCTGGAGCTGGGAGCTGGAAAGAGTATTTACAACCAGAGGCCTCCTTTTGGGAACTCACAACTGCCCTGAGGTATAGACATTGGGAAGATCACTTCTATCGGATGGGTGAGTAAATGTGTCATCGTGACTCACCGAAGGTCAGGAGAGTAGAGATGGAGCAAGGACTCCTGAGGTTTCCTTAGGACCCTTTTCCTGCTGCCTAGGCAGTGGCTGCAAGATCCACAGCCACCAGGATAGTGCAGGCCTGGCCAAATCACACAGCCTTAGCTCTCTAGACACGGGTGAATTGCCCATGCTGCCCGTCGCTGGGGCACCAGAATAGGGGATCAGGTTTGTGCAGAGTGGCACCTGGGGTCTTGATGGACTTGGAGGTTTACGTGAACTCTCGAGTTGGACTTTACAAGATTACATGAGTGCTGACTTCCTTGAGGGGTGAGGGGGAGACCGGTGAGCTAGAATCCACGACGCACCCGTCATACTGACTCCCCATATCTTTCTCTTGGATCATGACCCCGGGCTCTTCGAAGACTCGGGAAGCCCGCGTCTCGCTCCACTGGATGACGATTAAGGAACGCATGTCCCCTGGTTTCCCCAGCAGGTGGAAAGGGGCCCGTGCGGCACTTGTAAACGGAAAGAGAGCGAAGGCGGATTTGGGTCGGGGTGGCCCGTCGGACCGGCAGCAGGAAGTCCAAAGAGACCGTCTAGAAGCCTAGGCGCTCAGAATTCCTGCTCTTCGCTCCCCGCATCCCTCCACTCTTTGGGAGATGTGCTCACCTTGGATGCAGGCGGCGTTGCTCCTGCCCCGCACCCCAGGAGGCGCGCGCCTAGGGAAGCCGCCACCGCGCCGCCTCTGCCTCGGCGCTGAACAAACGGTTAAACATTTTGGGCAGCGCCTCGCGGGGGGAGGAGCCAGGGGCCCAATCCGCAATTAAAGATGAACTTTGGGTGAACTAATTGAACAAGGTAACCTGGGCCGCCTATAAAGCGGGAGCGCGGCGGGGTTTGGAGCGCTGGAGGCGGCAGCAGGTGGCGCGGGAGGCTGCAGCGTGCCATGGGGCTCCCGGCTCTTCTGGCCAGTGCGCTCTGCACCTTCGTGCTACCGCTGCTGCTCTTTCTGGCTGCGATCAAGCTGTGGGACCTGTACTGCGTGAGCAGCCGCGACCGCAGCTGCGCCCTCCCCTTACCCCCTGGGACTATGGGTTTCCCTTTCTTTGGGGAAACATTACAGATGGTGCTGCAGGTAAGGGAGCTTGGGGCGGGACAGGACGCCTTCCCACAGCCCGGCTCAGCCTCCGCCCAAGATTGGGATAGGCGTCCCGGTGAGGGAGGCGACTGCGACTAGAAGGTGGCTAGTCAGAGGCGCGACGCTCCCCGGCGCCTCTCACGCCCGCCCATCTCCTCCACCTTCCTCACACAGCGGAGGAAGTTCCTTCAGATGAAGCGCAGGAAATACGGCTTCATTTACAAGACTCATCTGTTTGGGCGGCCCACGGTGCGGGTGATGGGTGCGGACAACGTGCGTCGCATCTTGCTTGGAGAACACCGGCTGGTGTCGGTCCACTGGCCTGCGTCGGTGCGCACCATCCTGGGCTCTGGCTGCCTTTCCAACCTGCACGATTCTTCTCACAAACAGCGCAAGAAGGTGAGGGAAGGGTGGCGACGACCGGGCAGGGAAGGGAACCCCTACTCATTGGAGAGGTTCAGGCAGACAGATGCCGGTTGAGCAAGAGCAATATAAAATATGGACTAGAACTCTCTCCGGACTCCAGTTTAGCTTTCCCAGCCATGATGTGCGTTGGGTCTGGAGAGGGTGAAGGTGAAAAGGGGGCACAGGAAGGAGAGAGGGGCAAAGAGAATTTTACAGCTCCCCGTTCCCCTGGGCTCAGGTGATTATGCGAGCCTTCAGCCGCGAGGCACTCCAGTGCTACGTGCCGGTGATCACTGAGGAAGTGAACAGTTGCTTGGAGCGATGGCTGAGCTGCGGCGAGCGTGGCCTCCTGGTTTACCCCGAGGTGAAGCGCCTCATGTTCCGCATCGCCATGCGCATCCTGTTAGGCTGTGAGCCTGGGCATGCTGGCGGCCGGGAGGACGAGCAGCAGCTAGTGGAGGCCTTCGAGGAAATGACCCGCAATCTTTTCTCGCTGCCCATAGACGTGCCCTTCAGTGGACTATACCGGGTAAGGGCGGCAGGCTGGGTGAGGATCTAGGGGTGTGCCACTCTGGGTGCGAAGCTAGGGGGACAGTGGTGCATGCTCACTGCCACCCACCCTCTGCGTTTAGGGCATGAAGGCGCGGAATCTCATTCACGCGCGCATCGAAGAAAACATCCGCGCCAAGATCTGCCAGTTGCGGGCGGAGGAGACAGGCGAGGGTTGCAAAGACGCGCTGCAGTTGTTGATTGAGCACTCCTGGGACAGGGGAGAGCGGCTGGATATGCAGGTGAGTCAAGGCCTCAAAAGGGGCACCCACAGTTTGGCTTTCCCTGTGAGATTCCTGGGACCCAGCTTCTCAGTGAGCAACCTGCCCAGACTCAGATCCCAAAGGTTGACATTCAGTCTGGAAAGCTTTGGAAGAGGCTATCATGGAAATGGGAATGTCCCCTAGTCTCTCCAGGTTTCAAAAGGAAAGGCAGAATTTGCAAAATGTTAATAAAGAACTTTGGGTGATTTCAATAAATCCAGGTGGTCCAGGAGGACCCTGAAGAGTGGAATCTTACTTGCCTTCTGTCTCTAACTGAACTAAACCTTGCATTTTGTTTAATGATGTTGAGTTCCTTGGTTTTCTATCACCAAAACTTTTAGCCCTCTAGTCTTTCCTCCAGTAATCCACAGCTCTATTTTTAGTAATCCCTCTGTAAAACTACAAGTAGATTTCCTACAGGGAGCACTGGGGGTTGAACCCCAAGGCCTTGCCTATGCTAGGCAAGTCTGTGCCCCTGAGCTACATTCCCGGCCCACAGAGTTGTAAAAAAACGTTTTTGCCTCATTCCTAGGCACTAAAGCAATCTTCAACTGAGCTTCTCTTTGGAGGACATGAAACCACGGCCAGTGCAGCAACATCTCTCATCACTTACCTGGGGCTCTACCCACATGTTCTCCAGAAAGTTCGAGAGGAGCTAAAAAGTAAGGTAGGAGGATTCTAGGGGTTCCCGGTTAACTTAGGAAATTCAGCTGTTCCCTTACCAACTTCCCAGCTGAATAATTTTGAAGTGCAGGGCCAAGGTGAGTGGGCCAGTTCAGAGAGAGAATCAGCTTCACAAAATGAAAAGAATGGGATCTTGAGCTATGATCTCACTCGGGCAAAGGCTAACGAAGGCACGCTTCACCGCGGGGCTGCACCCTCATCCTTCACCTTTTGCAGAGAGATTCCATTTGCTTTGGGTTAGGTGTTCAAGGGCAAGAATAGTGTGATCGGTGCAAATAGCTTATCTAGGTGGGCAGTGGTGGTGAGTGGTGTGTGAATGAGGGGGTCTGAGCAGCAGGCTCTATGTGGTGAGCAGCTTTCTCTTGGAATTGTACAGAGACAGTGGATGTGGGTGCAGACGGTCACTAGCTTTTCTTTCCCCCACACACTGTCCCAACATGAGGCCCTTTTGAGTTTAGTCCTGTTTATGTCTGCTGAACTGATTTCACTGGATTGGAAAACAACCATTTACCTCTGAATGGCTGTTGTGACAGGGCTTACTTTGTAAGAGCAATCAAGAGGACAAGTTGGACATGGAAATTTTGGAACAACTTAAATACATTGGGTGTGTTATTAAGGAGACCCTCCGACTGAATCCCCCGGTTCCAGGAGGGTTTCGAGTTGCTCTGAAGACTTTTGAATTAAACGTAAGTTAAGAGTTCTCCCCACTTTGCACCTTCATCCTGCTCCTGTGGCTTTAAACCTAGCTTTGTTTCCCTGATCATTAGCTTAAATTTGATAACATTGTCCTGCACTATGTGGACTTGTTTCAGTAACCTGAATGAATCTCTTTCTCCCTCCCTTCTCTTTTCAAACTCATAGCAAACCCCCTCCCCCAGGATATCTAAGATAGCTGTTTGTGGTTGAAGGCTAAATTCCAGTTTGTCAACTCTTGGGACTCCATAATCTTTTACAGGGATACCAGATTCCCAAAGGCTGGAATGTTATCTACAGTATTTGTGATACTCATGATGTGGCAGAAATCTTCACTAACAAGGAGGAATTTAATCCTGAGCGATTTATGCCACCTCACGCAGAGGATGCATCCAGGTTCAGCTTCATTCCATTTGGAGGAGGCCTTAGGAGTTGCGTAGGCAAAGAGTTTGCAAAAATTCTTCTCAAAATATTTACAGTGGAGCTGGCCAGGCATTGTGACTGGCAGCTTCTAAATGGACCTCCTACAATGAAAACCAGCCCCACTGTGTATCCTGTGGACAATCTCCCTGCAAGATTCATCCATTTCCAGGGAGAAATATGATGGGCATAAATGCTCAAACCTTAGACTTATTGGAAGTGTACATATGAATTTTATATATTGTCATATTGACTTACTATATTTAATTTCTAAATGTATATTATATTTATGTGTTTCTACTATAGTATCATAGTCTTTAAATGTTAAAATAATATGTATAATTTCCAAATAAAGTAAAATTTGAAAGTGCTTTTCTTGCATTTAAGATTGCTTTTAGGGAAAATCTGCTGTTTTAATCTTTGTACTTAGTATATTGAACCAGATGGCTAAATATCTACCTGGGTTGATTTGCCATCGTGCATACCTATTTTTTGTAAAGAAGAACCTCAGGTTTTTTTTCCTTCCAACAATTTTGTGTGTCTGTTAGTCCAAAAGTCTGTCTGCAAATTTTTCTAAGATAGTTTAGGTTCTCTATTTGAAAAAGTCTAAGATTAATTGAGTTAAATTATTTATTTTTGCAGTGCTGGGGATTGAATGCAGGGCCTCACACTGCTAGGCAAGTAATTTTAATTAAAATATTTTTGGTGGTTCTGGGAATCAAAACTAGTATAATTTTAGTTTTTTGTTTTTTTGTTTTTTTTTCTTTGCTTCATTTCAGAGAAAGATCATTCTGAAAAGGTTACATGCTGGCTGAGAACTATCATTCTAATATAACACTTCAGTGTATCTAACATTCAATTTAAAAAAATCCTTATGGTCCAACAGAATCAGAACTGTTCGCCAGGGATGGGGATTTAGCTCAGTGGTTCCGCCGCCTGCCTCACAAGTACAAGGACCCAAGTTTGATCCCCAGTACCAAAAAAATAATAAATCAGTAACTGCTCTCCAAAGTTAAAGTTATAGAGGAGACAAAGCCAGTCACTCTAATTCTGGACAGTTCTTGACTAAAATGAGATCAAACATCACTGATACGTCACAGTGTCAAGAAAGCCAAGTCTCTGGTTTAGATAAACTGAGACCAGGATTTCTTTATTCAAAATGAAGCAGGAGGAGCAGATTTACCAAAATGACAGATAAAGTTTTTATCTATTCCAGGCAATAGGGTGTGAGCCTGACATGACTGATAAAATGGCCCAGTCATGACCCTGTGAACCTTGGCTAACCTCAGTGAAAGAGCAGTTTTGTTACATTTCTGACCCTGACATGGCCATGTTCTGAACTGAAGGCCAGACTCTCAATCCGGAAAGGTTAGCCCTGGTGACTTGCTTACACAAGCACATTTTCCATTTTGAAATGGCACAACCTGCTTACTGAACCTCTCATGGCTTGTAGGATTTGGACTTTAAAATTTTCATTACAATTTTAGAATTTTGCAATGCCACAGAAACCAGGTGGTCTAAGCGGGTGATTGAATGGGGTTCTGTCTACAATAGGAGTTGGAAGTTTCACCTGAGTTTAGTATGTAGGTGAAACTTGGGTTGTACTTATTGTTGGAACTTTCTGATTTTTAGAGTGTTTACATAATAACTTCTAATGCTTTATAACAACCTTATAAGGCCATTTAAAAATGGAGTAGGCTTTCATAGTTTCAGCCAATGTTTTAGCGTTCTGCAGTGTGCAAAGATGACCTCTCTGCCTCATTACATTTACTCTAGATCTTTCCAGCTAGAAGCACACTTGCTTGCCTAAGGGTGTCATTATTCCAGATAATTTTTACAAGGTCATTTTTAAAACGTTTCAACACTTTTCTTTTGCTAGAGGACAGTTTCCCTTTAACAACAATATTTTTGGCTACTATGTCACCCTTTACTTGGTAAGCATGCAGTAAGAAATTTGAGCCTTTTAAATATGTAATACAACTTTTAAAATGCACCTCATTTTTTAAATCTGAAAAATTTAGAGGAAAGCATTTCTGGTTTACCTTTCCCAGGGTTACTTTTAGCTCAATTATGCTGATCAGTTACAGAGTCATACAGAATTTACCTCAAAAAATGTTAAAAACCCAGTCTTTGATGATGTGCTGAGGGCTGAATAAAAAAGTTTAGAAGTTCAAGAGTGTAAATCTGACTGAACATTTGTGGGTTGCAGATAAAATAAGTCTGGGTCACATCTAGAGCAAGCACATTTTACGGCATAGGTACCAGCGTCCATGTCTAAAACAGGGTGGGGTGGGGGGCTCAGCTGAAGGAAATGAGGGTTCCCAGGAGTCTGCACAGTGCCAGGCTGTGTTCTCTAGGTTGTGGGTCAGCTCTCTCACACTCGGCAAGTTGGAGTCCTGTGTATCCTTTTCCAAATGGCCTTTGCTCTTGTCACCTCTCTTACCCTCCCGTCTTCAGGCAGAGGTATGGCACCGCCAATGACAGACCACTCTTAAGATGCTGATGTGAAAGCCTTGTGCTTTAGCATTCCTAAGGATTGTAGCCCTTATTTTGCACAGCCCTAGGGGGCCCAGAGATGGACTATGATTTGCCTGAGGCCACACAGCAAGTGGTGGAACCAGAAAAGATCTCCTAATGCCTAGTTTTTCCTTTTTTTAAAAAAAGCTTTCTCCTTCCTCTTTCTTTCTTTCTTTCTTTCTTTCTTTCTTTCTTTCTTTCTTTCTTTCTTTCTTTCTTCCTTCCTTCCTTCCTTCCTTCCTTCCTTCCTTCCTTCCTTCCTTCCTTCCTTCCTTCCTTCCTTCCTTCCTTCCTTCCTTCCTTCTTTGGCTGTATGGAGGTACATCCCCAGCTTATTTTATTTTATTTTGATTTGAGACAGAGCCTCTCTCTAAATTGCCCAAACTGGGTTCACATTTGCCATCTTGCTGCCTCAGCTTCCTGAGTAGCATGTGTCACACTGCACCCAGCCTTTTCTTTTTTTAAAAAAACAGCTAATACCACCTGCCAGATATCTTTCTACCTTTGTAACCAAACACCAAACCCAGGGAACTGCAACTTACTCAAGTCTTATGCCAGTCCTCCCCAATTCTGCCACAGTGCAGATCAGTTTTTCTGCAGGCTATCAAAGGTGACTGGTGAAATGAATTTGGAGATGAAATGGCGGCTCCCTCCATTGCTTTTTGTACCTCGCCATGCCTCAGTGGTCCACAAGAGGGCGGGCTTCCCCCTTGTATGCCAAGCTCAGGGTCTAGTGACTTTTCCACCAGTGTTCACGAAATGCAGTGTCCACGTACTCTGACCCAAGGTGGCTTTGACCCCATACAGGACAAAGCTGCAGAACACCCACAGTTTAGCAAACACTCCATGAAAGGCTTGGTCAAGGCTGCCTGGCTCCTTTGGAAGAGATCACCCTAGGCTTTTGTTGACCTGGAACATCTTTCAGTCCCTAATCCAGCTACCAGTCTTCTGTGGTCTTTAGAGTCAGCCAGCGAAAGTTTTCAGCATTTTCCCACAGGCTGCCGTGATCTCACCTGGATGCTCTTCCTCAGTGTTGAACCTGTGGCACACATTCCTCAGCGGCCTGTTTTTTAAAGCTCCAAAAGGTTAGCCATTACTGCTCTTACTCTACCTAGAAAATTGCCCCCAGTTTGGAGGTAGCAATGATTCCAGTTTTCCAAGAACATGGATAACCTATTAGCGTTCAGATGACCTTAGCAAAATCCTGGAGCCATCCTATAATAGCATTGCAGCAGGAACAGAAGCTATTTAGAGCAGTTGTGATATCTCCTTCAAACAATTCAAATGCAATTGTAAATACAGGTTCAGACCTGTTCTGAAGAGCAGAACACATACTTAGGAGTATGAGGTAGAAGAAGGGAGATGTGAATACTGTGTAAGGAGGCAACTAGAGCCCTTTGGTAATGAAACAGGCTACTGTGTGGGAGAAAAAGTTCCCCGTCAGAAGAGACATCCAAACAGGCTGGGTAACTAAGTAAACTGTCATGGGGATCATGACGTAGAGGATGAAGTCGGATTAAATGATGCTCCTAGTTCTCTTCCAAAATAAAAAAGTTGGGAGGCTGGGGATTTAGCAGTGCCGCTGCACCTGTCTTGTAAGTGCCAGGTCCCAAGTTCGATCCCGGCTCTGCCAAAAACAAAAAAATAAGGTCTAGTCTTTGAGCTGGGGATTTAGCTCAGTGGTGCCACTGCCTCCCAAGCACAAGGTCCCAAGTTTGATCCCCAGTATCAAAAAACAAAACAAAAACAAAAACACCAGTTGGGAAAGCTCTGAAACTTGATTCTATATTAATTCAGTTCCTCTGAAACCTACTTTACTTTTTTTTTTTTGTACTGGGGATCTGAACTGGGGACCCTGTGCTTGCCAGGCAGGCCCTACTTTACTTTCAAATTAACTCCAGTCTAGAGAGGTAAGACACCCTTCACTCTCTTCCAGCACATTCAGTAGTCCTCAGAGACCGTTCTCTCCAACCCCAGGGCCAGGTGAGGAGGTGAGAGTACAGGGGCCTGACCTGAGATTGCAGAAGCAGAGTTACGGTATCTGTTGTTTCCTGCTGCAGTATACCCTTGAAGTCTCTCCTAGCTGCTGTCTCAGGCTGACCATTCGGTAGCCTCGGGGGTAACGTCTTGTGTTCTCCAACACCCCCAAAATGCCATGCATGGACACTGGACTCTGCCTACCCTGACTGTCTTTTTTTCTCTGCCTCCTGAAAAGCTACTGAAGGCCAAGAAGTGTGTCTTATCATTCTAATCTTGTAAATTTGGCCCATGATCACATACCTCCCATTCTCCTCCAGAATATACTTACACAGGGTAGGTGTTCTTCGGAAGAGAAAGCTTCCTGGGCCCAAATGACACCATTTACCTTATATTTCTCCCCGTTTACATGGTGCCATGTTTTTCTTTGAAAAATGAAACTTTCATCCTTGGAAAATCTCAGAGGCTGCAAGCTTGCACGGCTGTGGTTTAACAGCATGTCACATTCCTGAAACCCACGTTCCATGGGTTTTTGGCCAAACAAGCTTTCCTTCCTTTGAAGTAGAGTCAACTTGAGTTAGAACCCTGGGCCTGGGGTGGAGACTTAGCTCTGGATTGGGTGGTGGATTTTCTGGGTGAGAGTTATCATGTTGCAATATTTGTAACCACGTCTCTGCCATACAAAAGCTG